AGGCAACTGGAACTGGAAAGCAGTAAAGCAGTGACTTGCCTTTTCCTTGAATTCCAGCAGCATTTTGCTGACCCTGTGAAGCCAGATCCAAGAGAGAAATCAGATTTTTTTTTTGTACCAGGGATCGAACTCAGGACCTCGTGCTTGCCAGGTAGGCGGGCTGCTGAGCTACACCCCTGGCCCAGATCTTCTAAATTCTTGGCGGGAACTCCCTGTAAAGTGCTTCACATTGGCTTATTAAAGAAGTATTTACATCGGCATACATGGACAGTAAAAAGTATGTGTGCAGACCCATATTCATAGCAGCACCAGGCACCACAGCCGAAAAGTGCAAACAGCCCAAGGCCCATCACTGGAAGAGCAAGCTGGGTGTGGTGCTGACACCTGTAATTGCAGCACTCAGGAGGCTGAGGCAGGAGGATTGCCTCAAGTTCAAGGCCAGCCTGGGCTACATGAGTTCTAGGCCAACTTGAACTACATAGTGAGACCCTGTCAAAAAACCAGAGAGTGAGAAAGACATGACCACAGCAGTCAGACCTTTGTCCTCAGCCTTAAAGGGACAAATATGACCTTAGACCTGCCCTTCAATTTCTCTCACCTGTCATCCTCTACAGCAGGCTGCCGAGGACTCCAGGGTCCCATTCCATTAGTTTTGACCACTCTGTTATTTTTGTTCATTTTTACAGTACTAAAGATTGAACCCTGGGAATGCTGTGCTACATCCCACCCCTTTTCATTTTTTGAGACAGGATCTTGCTGTTGCCCAGGCTGGCTTTGAACTTGTAATCCTCCTGCCTCAGCCTCCTGAGTAGCTAGAATGTCAGGGATGCACCACTGCACTCAGCTTTCTGGCCAGTTTTAAATCAAGCAGGTGTCAACCTCAAGCCTTCTCTGTGCACCAGGTCTGGGTGACACGGAAGCTGCTGACGAGAAGTCCTCTGAATCTCCCTCCCAGAGAATGAGGACCCTGTGCACACAAGGGGCCCAGTGGTGAGGATCCTAGTCAAGCAAAGTGAAGAGAGACGGGTCCTGCCCCGCCTGCCAGGAGAGCCCCATTGAATGGAGATGGGGAGCAGAGCTTGGGACGCCCCTGACCTGAGAAGCCTCAGATGAGACTGCCCAATACAGGTAGGATCTGATCAGGGTCCCATTCATGAACAGAACAGAGTCAGACAACAGACTAAATGCTGGAAGATACCGTGGTGGCAGGAGGCTGAGGCAGGAGGATGGCTGTGAGTTCAAGCACAGCATGGGCTTCATAGAAAGTTAAAAGCCAGCCTGAACTGAGGAAAACTCTGGAGTTGGCATCCAGATTTTCCAAATGAACCACTTCACCTCCCTGCCAGGTAATAAAATGTTTCCCTAACTTCCCTTCTTGCTCCAAAGGACACTGTTTTATTTTTTTTAATTAATTAATTTATTTTTGGTACCAGGGATCGAACTCGGGTCCTTGCGCTTATGTAACAGGCGGCGAAACCACTGAGCTAAATCCCCAGCCCAGGACACTGTTTTATTAAAAGGTGGAGGAGGTGGGAGACTCCAAGAGTGGAGAGAGAAGTCAGGGGAAATTATATTTTAATTCTATTTTTTAGATCCATTCAAAAGTTAATTAGGCAAAATTAGATAAGTATGCACTCACAGAGAATAGAATGTGAGCCTTTACTAAATTGGGCACAGACCTGTAATCCCAGCACCCAGGAGGCTGAGGCAGGAGGATCAATGCCAGTTTGAGGCCAGATTGGGCCATATAGTGAGATTCTGCCTCAAAAAAAAATTTAAAAATGTAGCTATTCTCAGTCTTGCTTCCTTATAGGCTGTCATCCTGTATTTGGTTGGGTCCAGATGTATAGGCCCTGATCATTTCCACAGTTAGATTTAAATGTGCCATAATCATATGCATGTGAGAGTGCATGTGTATATGTGTGTATACACGTGCATGTGTAATCTTGGCTGATCAACCATACATTTCACATGGCTACATATCCTGTGCATTGGAGCAAAAATGTGCACAACACACTGTAGGGAGCATTGGTTTTTTGGGTTTTTTGGTACCAGGGATCGAACTCGGGTCCTTGTGCTTTTAAGGCAGGCGGCAGAACCACTGAGCTAAATCCCCAGCCCTTGTAGGGAGCATTTGTGTTCACAGTGTTCCGGTTCTGGATGTTTTCAAGAAAACTGTATTTTTCTTTTATGCACACCCATTGACTTTTCCTGGTAATTATTCTGGAAGCCAGACCCTTTTAATGGTTTTGGCAGGGACTCACTGGAGCAGGAAGAAGTGGAGAAGAATGCAAAGTTATAAAGTGCTTCTCACATTTTTAAATGAGCTTCTCCTGGATTATTGACTGGCTGCTTGATGGTTCCTGTTTTTCAGGCTGACCCAAGCTCACAGAGCGTCAGGGTGGGAAGGCAAAGCTGAATAGATCAGTCAGATCTCTGCATTTTCAGGAAGCTGGAGAAAAGTGGTCTTGGTTTGTTTTTGTTTCATGGTTGTTTTTTGTTTTTTTAAAACCAGGGATTGAACTCTGGTACTTGTGCTTGCAAGGCAGGTGGCAGAACCACTGAGCTAAATCCCTGGCCCTTTTGTTTTGTTTTGGTACCTGGGATCAAACTTGGGTCCTTGCGCTTGCAGGGCAGGTGGTGGAACCACTGAGCTAAATCTCCAGCCCAAAAATGGTGGTTTAACAGGACTCATTTTGCCCACTTTTTTTTGTTTTTGTTTTTGGTACCAGGGATCGAACTCAGGACCTTGTGCTCATGAGCCAGGCATCAGAACCACTGAGCTAAATCCCCAGCCCTTTGTGGTTTTTTTTGTTTTGTTTTTTTTGGTACCAGGGATCGAACTCGGGTCCTTGAGCTTGCACAGCAGGCGGTGAAACCACTGAGCTAAATCCCCGGCCCTTCCTTTGTTTTGTTTTAAGACGGGGTCTCCCTGTGTAGTTCCGACTGACCTTGAACTCACTATGTAGGCTAGGCACGTCTCAAACTGGCATCAATCCTCCTGCCTCAGTCTCCCAAGTGCTTGGGATTTCAGGCATGGGCCACCAAGTCCAGTTGAAAACACAGTTTTGAAACAGGATCCCAACTGTCCCCTGCCTCCTTCTCATCCTGCATCCAGCAGGCAAGGGACCCTAAGATGTTGGGGTACAGGCTCAACTGACCTGTGTCAACTTTGCAAAAAACAGGAGGGAAAAGGAACAGAAGGAGTGCGGGATGGGGAGAGCAAGGAGAGGGGGAAACAGAGGCCAGAGTGGGGCCCAAGGAATCAGGAGGCTCAGGAGACCTTCCTGGGAGCCCACCACGTTGTCATGGCAGTGACTCGCCAGACTGCAGGCCTCAGGAGAGGCTAGGGCGGGTCCTTAGCAAGTGAGCCAAGCAGCCTCACACACGTGTACACCAGGCAGCGTCCGCCCGGGACGCAGCTGGAGACCCGGGGCCACACCTCAGCCCCCTTCCCATCACTCCATGACGCCCGTGTCTCCCCAGCACTCAGGTTCTGGCTGGGCCCACTGGTGTACAAGCCCTCCAAGCACTGGTTCTATCAGAAAATCGCAAGGCCACACGTTTGCACACACTCAGGACCCTGCCCTCAAAACCTCACTCGCACAGGGATGCACGCTGACCGGAAGGAAGCCCCCTTGCCAGGCCTAGTACCCGTGGGCCTTTTCTTAAGTACATAGTCGTCCACACTTGCCTGCTGCCCAGGCAACCGCAGCCGGATCATCAATGACCCCGCGCTGGCAGGCGCGGCTCGGTCCCTTTCCAGAGCTGGGATCGCACCAGGAGCAGGGCGTTTCCCGCGCTGGAGGGACTTCTCCAACTTGGAGCGGCAATCGGGCCCTGGGCAAGGACGCCGGGGCGCAGAGCCCTGGTTTCCGGCCCCGGGAGCCAAAACTCCTCGGATTCTCACGGTGTTTGGCGGGCGCTGCGGCGTGAGCGGGGAGATGATTACGCTCAGAAGGAATCGCGACTCCTCGCGGAGCCATTACGCGCGTAGCTCCGCACGCGCAGGTCCCGGCCCGGCTTTCAGCTGCTTCCCCTCCCTCCCTCCCTCGCTAACCACTAGCTCGTAATTTGTGGGCCACCGTGGAGCTGCGCCCGGGGCTGCAGGCCCCAAATTAAAGCACTTTTGCAGCCCGGACACCCAGCGAGCTGCCTCCACGCTGGGCAGGCCGGCACCTCCTGCTCCCCGCGCACCTCTCCCTGCCCAGCGCCCCAGCTGCCGAAATGGATGGGATTTCACGCGCACGCATTCACACGCACTCACACGCACACACGCGCGCACACAAACATTCCCCGTCCAACACCGCCCGCACTCGTGCACGAGCCCGGTCGTTTTCCTTTTGTGCTCGCTTGGCAGGCCGGGCATTCCTGTCCCAGGTCTCCGCTTCCTTCGGCACTTTCCTTCTGGGTCCCCCGGGCCTGCCCGGATGCGTCGCCTTCAGCCTCGCCGGGGGTGCCCTCGCCCTCTCCCGGGAGGACGGGGGCCGCGGAGATGCGCCCTGCGCGGGCTGAGTTCTGCAAACCGCTAGGACTTCAGGGCTGGCCTCCGGCCTGCGCCGTTTGTTTTCCCTTCGCCCCCTGAATGCTAGATTAAGACGTAAAGATTACCCGGGCCGAATAATGCCGGGAGTCAACACTCAGCAAACAAAAAGTGCTTGCACAACTCGCCAACCCCGCTGGGACCCTGGCCGCGGGCTGGGGGAGAGAACACGCTCCTCGCTGCTAATTACAAATAAATGATGATGTGCTCACTAAGTAATTGATTTAATGAAGTTCCTATGAAACTATTAAACCCGGGTGGAGGTCAGGCTGGAGGCGCCCCATTGTGGGCTGTTTAACTCCTCCGGGCTCCTCGGAAAGACATCGGGGCTAATAGGTGAAGTCACAGCTGCCCGTGCTGACTTCCCGGAGCGCCCGGCCGGCCGCGGGCACCCTCGCGCCCTCCTCCTGTCGCGCCCTCGTGCCCCGCCGCCCGAGCCCCGCGCCGGCCAGCTTACCCACGCCACTCCCAGCCCCTGCGCCAGCTCCCGAGGGCCTCTCCAAAAGGATCCCGGGTCTCGTTAAGAGTGGGAAGTTGAGCTCTGAACTTGTGCGCACCGCCAGCAGTCGGCGGCGTGCACCGCCGCCCACCCCTCCCTCCTCACCCCAGCCCACCCCACCCCACCCCACCCCCGCACTCCGTGCAGGAACTTCAGCCAGTGTGCCACGCAGGGTGCTCGCGCGCTCTTGGCAAGGCGCCTGGAGACCGAGCGCGTGCCCGAGTCCTGGAGGGGGCGGGGCGGGGCTGGGGTGTGTGAGTTGTGCGTGAGCGTGTGCGAGGGTGTGTTTGGGTGTGCGCGCGTTCTGGGCCAAAAAGACCACGTGTCTGCACCCTTTTCCGTGGCCTGGGGCCTGTTTGTGAATAAAAAAGAAGTAAAAGTAGGGCAAACGGAGAAGGAGAGCATAGGTGACTACGAGATTACTGTGGTAGAAGGTTGGGCCTGGCAGCTCCAGTCTTAGGTCTGCGGATCTTGCGGCATTTCCACCGCCCAGGCGACTCCGGGCCTCGAGTGGGGCGGCAGGCCCCAGGCCTACACCTCTGGCTGCTAGATTTGAACTGTTCAGCCCACCCCCTCGGGCAGAGTCTCGGGTCTCAGCAGGAAGGGTAGGGACTAGTCCTGAAGCGAGGTTCCCAAGGAAGAAATGTGACCACCCCTTATCCCAACAGCCAAAGGGAGCCCGGGGGAAACTTTCTCAAAAGGCAGAGAGAGAATCAGACCCTGCAAGTGGATCTAGAGGTGAAGATGCTAAACCTTGCACCCGACCTCGAGGGTCCAAATCTCTCATATCCACAGCAGAGGGGGCGTTGGACGCATCTCTCCGCTCCCCGGGTCTGCTAGGGGTTCTGAGGTAAAGGGAGGCCCAGGTCCAGCTGAAACTCCCCCTGGGAGACAGAGGCGCCCGCAGGCTTCCGCCAGCAGAAAGAAAACTGCCAGGATGCCCTCCCCCTCCACCAGCCGAGTCTCCCCTCCTCCTCCAGAACTGGCAGTTAAGTTTCTTGAAGCATGCATTTCATTTATGGTGCCACAGTTAGTTGGCAGTACGCTTCATTCTTTTTATTTTTTTAATAGGAATTTCCAAACTGCTGAAACCATCTGATTTTGAATCAAACACTTGGAATAGTGCAAGGGGTAGAGGATGTTTTTGGCGTCGCTGTGGGCCAACCTTAAACAGAACTCCACTTCTGCCTGGGTCTTTGAGTCTCACTGAGGGTCTCAACTTTTGATTCCTCAGGGAATATTAGCCAATAAAGAGATGGGGGGGGTCTCACTTGAGGGTCTCAGTTTTGCCATCTGTAAAATTGGAGCTGGAGCTCCTTGGCTGAGGCTCTTTGGCTTTGTTTGTGATCTGTGAAGGGGATTTGGGGGGAAGTGAAGAGGGCTGTTTGCACCACGCTTTTGTCTGTCTTTGTAGAAGCGAGGCCCTTTGTAAAATAATGCTCCGCCACGCTGCCTAATGGATTTTGGCAGGGCTGAGGTTTTCCTTTTTCCCCACCCAGGAGCGACGAAAGAGAGGGGATGTTTCCAATCCCGGCGAGTCCCGCGTGGCGCTTGTTTGTTCAGCGGCGCTCTCCGAAATGTGCCCCAAAGCGGTGCACGCGGGCCGGGCTCTCTCCTCCCCCGCCCCGGCAGCTGTTCGCATTTTGTTCCCGTCTCCCCTCCCCTCCTCACTCCAGCCCCCCGTATTCCTTTAACGCCCGCTGCTGATTGCATCCCTGCTGCCTCTAGTGTAGGATGGGCCCCTCTCTTCAGCCTGCAAATGAGAAGTGACACTTGCTCTCGGCTCAGCCAACGCAGGAGCCGGCGCGGGGACGCAGGCCCATTGACCGAGCGCGGCCCTGGCCGGCAGGCTCGGCGGCATCCGAAGCTGCCTTAATTAGTACCATCTTAAATAGTCCAGCAGCCACCGAAGACAAAGTTGAAGAAAGACAGGCTGAGTGCCCCCTCGACAAGCTCTTTTTCCAGTGTCATTCAATATTTAATGCACCCGCTTGTAATGCTACTACTGGTGTTCCTTTCTAAGCAAGGACATTATTTTTTCACGGTGCCCATAGCCAGGGAAAGCCCTTTAGGCAAAGAAAATCAAAATGTTTGTTGTTTTGGATGACTTATAACTCTTGTTTAACACAAGCACTTTGAGGGAAGTATAACAGGCGCAGCCTCCAAAAGCAAACAACACAATCCTTGTGACAGAGTCGGACACAAAAAGCACATTGTCTTGCGGACTACCCCTTTCTCTGGTGCTGGATGGGGGCCTGTCTCCCAGTGAACACCACGGTGCCATTTCACTTTTGAACTATTGTTTTTGAGTTATGCCATGTGGTCAAAAGGAGCGAGAAGGGGGTTGTTTTCCAGGCTCCTAAGACAAACGAGTTGCCTTTTCAATGAAATCCCCCCGCGATCCTTGAAAACGGAGTTTAAATGTCACCTCCGCCTTTCTAATGGGCACAGGGCTGGAGGCGACCCTTCAAAGCGCCTTGGTGATAAACGACCCTTATTAAATATGGCCCGGGCCGCTGGGAAAGTCCCCAGAGCGCCCCCCGCTGGAGGGCCCGAGCATCGGCGGCCCGGCGCAGGCCCAGACCCAGCTCGCCCGGGACTGAGAGGGAGGCGGGGTGGGGAGCTCGGGTGAGGGGGACCAGTTGTAATACAACGTCCTATCTGCCTCCCACAACACGCCCGTGCGCCCCATCCCCACAGGCTCGGCGTGAAAG